AGGAGAGATTTCTGATGACCAACGCAGCTAAGTGGTGAGCGCTAGCTTACACACAACTCTAGGTATTTTTTGACAAATTGAAGTGAAGTACTAATATCATTCGAAAGAGGAGATTCTCCTCTTTCTAATTTATACTCTCGCAACTGACGACAGCTACATCTGTACGAATTTGATATAAGAAAATGATTTAAAAATTGAACTTATTCTTTTAGCACAATTCTTCTGTGAACCAGCTTAATTATGCACTTTTCCCAACTACATTGTCTGCAGATAGTTAATATTTATATTCATTATCGTTCTTCGCAATCTTCTGTCTCTGAATTCGGCGAAAGACCTGTAAATAGGTGAAGATCGTTTTTTTTTTACCTTTCAAACAAATCATCACCTTTCATCTGGTTTTGGTGAAGGGGGTCAGCCTGCTTTCTGTCTTAAGGTGAGAGGGGGAGAAAAGTATAATCTTGAACCGAATTTATCTTTCCTGGATTTACAACACAATAATTGCTTTCGGCTAAAAATCGCTACTATTTCAATTGCTAGCTCAGTCAGAAGTTGTTCGTCGCAGATTCTGAATCGCTATCGTAGAGTTATGACCAAACGTAACTGAAGCCTATTTAAACACCCATGTGATGATGCACTCTCACCAACAATGTTAACGACGTTTGAGTACTAACCCTATGCGACAAATTTCTACTCACTGTTTTCTTCTTTTCTCATAAGTTGAACAAGATCTCACCTTTTCGAGAGCTGCTAAGTCGTTAATGGCGTCAATCTCAGGTTTCGGCTGTTCATCCGGTTGTGCTTCCTGGCGAGCTTCCGGACTTTCTGTGTCCATGCTATGAAATGAACCTCTCCGTGTCTCTTCTTTTTAGCATTCAGAACAACAAACTATTCTTTCAATAACAACAACTTTGAGTGAGGCTCTTCTTCTAGCACGGTTGTATATAGTCAATTCACATTTGAAGCGAAATAACTCCTGCTAAAATGTTTATGAAGAAGTTCCATACAAAAATATTATTTCTGGAATTGAAATCAATGATTTTTCGCATCTTTTCTTGGAATGTGCTCTCCACTTGTCGGTTTGATTCTCTGTGAGCAATAACCATATTCTGTCAAAAAAAAAGAGGGCTATTTAGATCAAAAAGCTAAAAAGAAGTGCGATTAATGAAATCAAAGGAAAGGGTTGAGTTGCAATGGCTTTAGGTTCATCAAAACAACTTTTCATCTCAACATCACACTGCATTAGAGCAAACTATTTTTCAAATGCATAGTTTGGAATCAATCTTGTAAGCATGTTCTTTATTATGTCATAAACATTCAAAAAA